CCATCCTAACTAGGAATGTTGCATATGAATGAGCCATGCACACAACCTTTCTGGGTCTTTCTCTGTAAAAAGAATTTGGCATCTATTTAAGATTTCCCACATATCCAGGAAGCATTAAAATCTCCTTTTCACATCTCCAGGTTGTAGAATTTATCATTTACCAGTGCATGAAATATCTGAACATTGTGTCAGAAACAGGTTTATATAGATATTCCAGAACATTATTAAATAACTATGAATATTTTATAAGCAGTATCTAAGAAATCTATGGCTCTGTATCTGTAGTCTAGGAGAGAAAGAGGACATTTTCTCTTATTTAATGCACCATCCCTTGTATCAAGAAACTCAGGGAAAGGTTCTTTGTGCAGAATTTGGCAAGGTAAAAATATTTATGTGAAGGGTCACTGGTTATTTTCAGACTGTGCTTCTTATGTATAAAACAACTTTGTTTGCTAAGACTGCAAAACATATTTGTGTAGTCACTCAGAATACTGCTGCACTTGACCGTTCAGGCAATGTTAAAATATAAATGCTTTATTACTACATGATGTTCTAAGTTATCTTGTTTGAAATGACTATTGGTCACGTACAATAAAAGGTTTGACTTGATCAGAGTATGCTCTTCAGGAGAGTTCACCTTTTTTTCAGTTCAAATGCGTTGAGTTCTTCCATGCTGTTCCCCTTGCAGAACATTTTTTCCTCCCATGTTATTTAGTCAGCTTTCAAATTAAGGCATGTACTTCAAAATAGTCTTAAAACTTGGTTATGTATGCATTATAATATAATCTAGATTCTGATTCAATTCTTCATTTGCGATTTAAAACCAGTGGGACTTTAAACGCTTGAGGAAGTTTTTCTTTGAAACAACTTCATTTGAATTGGTCAACTTTCACAGAAAGTAAATGAAATACCTACAATGAGCCATTTCTACATACTTCTATATGTTATTATCTTGTGCTGCTGCTGCAACCTGGAAGGGACCACACATATGACTAGCTATATAGCACTGCAGACAAAAAGCATTATGAATGTGGTGTGGTTGCCATTAGAAAATTGGCACTTCTAATTTTGAAAGAGAGGGGTATGTGCACAAGCTGTTTCAGTAGAATCCATGCCTCACTTTGTAAAATCTTAATCCAGCCTGAGATTAGGGCAATCAAAATTTACTGTTCTAATGTGCATGGAACAGCTTCATTAATTAATACCAGTTTGGCAGCAGTAAAGAGTGGAAGAGTAAGAACTTGAGGCAATCTAATTTAGAAAAACACATAATAATTGCCTTCCTAAAAGTCAAAACCTTCTACATGTCTTCAATCTGAAAGGAGAAATTATAACCAGCAAGTATAAAAATATGAGACATGCTTTGCTTAATCCAAATAGTGTATGGAAGGTTAATGTAAGCCCTGTTTGAACAAATCAGTCAGAAAAATTCATGCAACCAATAGTGAACTGGAACTGGATCCATCCTAACTCGTCAAAACAAGTAATGAGAAGCTTGAGTGGAGTTGAGTTCACATTGGGCAGATTTACATGTCACAACAACACACCCTGGCAATAAGCCACACAAACCTCATTGTTCTACACCCAACAGATAATCTGACTCGCCATATGTCATTCACTCTCTCCTTCCCCCTCAGTTCTCCAGGTGGTATCCCAGGAGACACTATGGCAAAAGCAAGTCATTGCTCCCTCCCTACCACAATCAAGAGAATGGCTATTATTTTTTCTAGGAAACTGAAAAGCTGTTTTATGGCCAGCTTTCATATTCCCTGTTTTAATAGCCACTGACAGCCCTTTCAAAGGGACTCAGTGACATCTTTTTTTTTTTTTTGCATGAAAATTTTGTGCAAACAAGCATGAGTTTGAAAGAAAAAAATAGCTGCAGTTGTGTAATTGCAAAGATTCACAGCTGCATTAGTGCAGAAACTAGAAGCTTCACTACTGCAATTTCATGGGGGCTACCTGCTGCTATAGTGTAACAGGTACCAAGCCTGGAGATTCCAAGCCAAATAATTTTCTTCCTGCTTGGCTTCCCTTGCAAGCTGTCAAAAGACAAGCTTTGAAACATAATCAAAGGCATGAGTGAGCTCTGCTCATAAAAAGGAAGTGTTGTGACTTCCTGGGAAAAATGAATTTTGACAGGCAGCTACCAAAATTCCAATTCCCCTTTAAAAGTGTGTTTTGACAAGTAAATGAGTGTTTTGGGACTGCGAGAAATAGTTGCCTACTTTCCAGTCAACCATCTCCCCACTTGTGAGCAGCTTGTGAGAAAGTGGTGAAAGAAAGCTTGACAAGAACACCAAGGGTATTTTGCTATTCTTCCCAACTGAGCTGCTAGACTTTCCCAGAGTAGGACTCATCCTCTGAGTATGGGCAACACAACAACCCACTGTAGGTAAAGCATCCTCCTAGAACAGCCCATGGATTCCAAGACGATTTGATAGATGCAGGGCAGAGGGGAATAAAAGATGATTAACTGGGTTGGGTTAGAATCATAGACCAAGCAATAATGGCTCACTTGCCCACTGAAGGTTGTTGCATCATGTGGAGCAGGTCAATGTAACATTAGAATTTTTTTTTCTGATCTAAATCACAAAGCTCTTTGACTCTCCAGTTATTGTCAACCTGTCAGTGCTCTGCAATTTAGACACACCTGAGTTTCATCCAATTCCTGAACACAAAGAAACTTGAATATGACAATAAAATGTTACTTTTGTATTGGGTCAACAAAGAGATTGTACTTTAATATAATGATCACCCAAATACCAAGTGTGGTGAATGTTTAAATCTCTGCTTTTTATCTTTTGTTCTTTGCAAAAGTCTTCCAAAAACCATAAATAATTTTTTTTCTCATTGGGCCCACCATTGCAGAGTGTCACTGTACACACACTGAACATAATTCAAGGTGTTGATTAGGACCTATAAAGCCCTAAACGGCTTGGGTCCTGGCTACCTGAACGAGCGCTTACGTCCGTATATGCCCGACCGCCCTTTGAGATCTGCGGGAGAGTCCCTTCTCCGGGAACCCTCCATGAAAGAAATTAGGAGAGTAAGTACCCGGAGGAGGGCTTTCTCTGCGGTGGCGCCCAACCTATGGAATTCACTCCCCAAAGAGGTCCGCCTGGCACCGTCGTTACTGGTTTTTCGGCGCCAGGTAAAGACCTTTTTATTTAAACATCATTTCAATTGTTAAAAC